TCATGATGCTTCTCTACATACAGAAGCAGGGAGGAAACAGCAAAAAACCAGGCCAGATACTGTCAGGGCGTGACGAACATCAAACAGGGCGGCGTCACATAGAGCATCACTGTAGATCGCTTGGTCAGGGGAGGCCTCTCCCAGGAGATGGCACCGGAGCTGCGCCTCAAAGGCGCCTCCGTGGAGGCCTCTTAAACATGAAGAGCATTTGAAGCAGGGGCACAGCACGTGCCAAGGTCCTGTGGTGGCACAAGCGGAACGTGTTGGCAGATTTGCAAGAAGCCAGGGTGGCTGCCTCTCAGGGAGCCGGGGAGAGGGAGGTGGGGAGGGGGACCTCGTGGACCCCAGAGAAGGATCCGGAGTTTACGCCTGTGCAAGGGGAGCCGACACTGGAGTTTGAGCAGGAAGTAATATGACCCCGTTTGCTTTGAATAAAGGTCCACGGTGTGACCTCCGTAACGTCCCCTCCGTGGAGCGGATTCCTTTCCCTGAGAGCGTTTTTCTCAGGTGTCATTGCAGACTCTTTGGCATGAAAGTCTTATCTTTGTCCCCACCGGTCTGTCACCTGTATGAGGCCACGGCTAATGCACACCTGTGTCCCCCTTGCCCTGTAGGAAATGCTCAGTCAACATAGTCTGACAAATGCCCCTGTGAGTGACTGTCCAGTCCCTGCTCTGACGGGAGCCTTGGTGGCCTCGGCTGTGCCCAGAAAGGTGCCAGTGTCCTTTGTGTTGCAAGGAATAATTTTGGAACCTGCCTCTCTGTGGCTTCCAGCCGCCGCTGCCACACGCCTCAGCCTGGAGCCTAAGAGCAGCTTCCCCCGGAGGAAAGGAACTGGCAGCTCCGCGGTTTGCGTCGAATGAGATGTTTTTAAAAGGGCAAGAGCATGTCCTCCTCTAAAGGGTCCTTTGTACCCAGGTTGGCGTCAGATTGCTGCTTTTGCCTGGCCGCACAGTGGCTGTCTTCTTGCTCTGATGTTGTTGAGGGGTGTCCTGGGCCTTGGGGGGCCCTAGGCAGAGGAGGTTGGTGTTGGAGAGGGCAGTTTTCTAGGTGGGAAGGAAAACGTTGCTCTGGGGGCGGAAATTGGCAAAGCAGATGGGGCCTTGCTGCAAATGGAGCTGTTGAGTTAGCCCGAAGCATGAAAACTTGGCTTTCATTTGAAACGCCCCTGTGTGTCAGGCCCACCCACGCTGAGAGGTGAAGTGGTTCTCTTGAGTTAGGAAGTGAAGCCCGAAAACTCAGCTCAAATTCCAATAAACCAGAGCTCATAAACTCCAGGCCTGGGAACAAAAGCTCAAAGAAAGAGGGAGGGAGGAGAGAGACTCAGACTGTGGGCCTTTTGTGGACTTTTAGATACTTTCTTGAAAGTGGCTGCCACTCTTACATTCCACACTGCAGTTCCTCGAACACACAAAGTTCGCTCCAACCTCAGGGCCTTTGCACGTGCTGCGCCCTCTGCCTGGCTCTTCACAAGGTTGGCTCTTCTTTGTTCATTCTCCACTCAGATATTCCCTTCCCAGAGAAGAAGCCGCACTCTCACTCCCTCTCCATCAAACCACTCTGTTTCTTTCTCAGCATTTAACGTGACCTGAAATTATTGTGTTTGCTTTTTCCTGGACTGACCTCTGTGTCTGTCTGCACCCCCCGGAACGCGCCCCTGGAGAAGAAGGCCTCGCTCAGGATCTGCGGTGCCCAGGCGGCCCTGCACGCGGGAGGCGCTCAGTAAACACGCACGGGCTGGAGAAATCAATCAAGCTGTTGACTGCGCCGGAGCGCTTCCTATCTGCATCCATCGAGACGCTTTGGCTGAAAGTACTAGAAAGCAGCAAGCCATGAGGTTCAACAGTGAAGACGTTTATTATTTCCACATGAGGGGAGGACCTGAGATGAGCAGGTTCGGGGTTCTCAGCTCCGGCGATCGATGGCGTCACTGAGAAGCCAGGTTCTCCTTCCGTCTGTCTGCTGCAGCACAAGGTGGCAGCTCTCCAGGTGGGACGACGTCCAACAGAAGTGCAGGCAGCAGCTCCTCCTCGTGCCCTTTTTATCAGCCGAGGAGACCTGTCCCAGAATCCCCCAAGCTCACCCCCCACATCTTATTGGCCAGAACCGGGTCATATGTCCAGCCCCTAAGCCAATCAGGATTGGCATTACCAGACTGGCTTAGAATAATCAGGGTGCCCTCCCGACGGGGAGTCAGGGCCCCCCTTTTCTGAGCACCTGCGGCTGCTGGGAGGAGGGTAGACCCGCTGCCTTCAGCAAAGAAGGGGAGGGGAGGGAATGAATTTTGGAAAGGCGACCAGTGGTGTTGGTTCCGTCACACGTGTTCAATTTCATCCTCACAAAAACCCTCTAAGGTGTCGCGTGTTCCCTTCAGCGCGTACCTAGCACCGGACCCCTGAGGGCTCATCTTTTAACACCCCCTGTAAGCACCAGCCATTTTCAATACTAAACTAATCGTGATAATTAATAATTGTGATACTCAGAAATCACTATTTCGTTGATGCCTTCTTTAGTTTTAAAACAAACAAAAAGAGGAATAAATTTCTATTTTAAAGATAGATATTTATTCAAATTTACTAAAATTGTGTGTGTGTGGGGGGGGCATTTGGAGTTTTCTGAACGAAACTCCACGTAGAATACAATATTTATTAAAAGGTAACTAATACAATTGTGCTAATTCGAAGCTTACGTACATATTATTAAAATGCAACCGCAGCAATTCTTTCTTTTTTTTTAATTTCAGAGTATTGCGGGGGCGCAAAGGTTTTGTTACGTGGATTGGTTTTGTACTCTTGAGACGAAGTTGTAAGTGTGCCCATCACCCAGATAACAGTGTACGACGTTGCACCCATCAGGTATGATTTCGCCCATCCCCTAACCACGGGAATTTCTTAGTACAAGGATTGGCAAGCTTTTTCTGTAAAGTGCCAGCTAATAAATATTTTAGGCTTTTCGGGCCATAGGGTCTCTGTCGAAACTGCTCAACTCTGCCAGTGCAACACGAACGCAGCCATAAACTATGCGTGATGAACGGCATGGCCGTGTCCCAGTAAAACTTTATGTGCAGGAGCAGGCTGGGGGCCAGGTTTGGCCTGTGCACTAGAGTTTGCCAGCTCCTGGTTTGAAGAACTTAGACCAACAAGATTGCTTCAGGGGGAATGTTTATCACTGACATTTTTTAGAGTTACTGGCACATGGTGCTAATGAGAAGCAGACTGACTTCGCGTGGGTTTTATGACTGTTAAACGTGTCACAGACCGGGCACTGGGGGGCTGCAGCCACCATCCCACCCTTGGTACCCCCACCTCTCATTCCCCTTCACGGGAAGCACCGGGGCTCAGAGGGGCACCCAGGCCTCGGGGGAGTTAAGCAACTTGTTCAGAAATCCGGGCTCCGTTGCCCAGAGCTTGATCTCCTGGGCGCCCCTTCCAGCAGCCCCTCTCCCCGCCCCCATGCACGGTGGAAACTTCTCTGGGGACAGACTCCGGGTCTGAGTCCGTGTCGCTCGGGGAAGCTAAAGGGTTCCTGTCCCACTTGCCAGAGCTTTTCTTTCTGGCCCAGGACAGGGCCAGGGAGTAAGGAAGTCCCTAGGGGTGGCCTTGGTGACCGTTTGGGGGCCTCCAGGCCTCTCACTTCCCGTCTGGAGGCTGCAGAGAACATTCTAGAAGGCACGTTGGTACCTGGACCCGCTTGCCCTCCCTGAGCCTTCCCTGCCCACTTCTTATCTGCCGCCTGCCTGGTTCTCGATCAAAGACCGACTCTCAAGTTGCTTCCTCATTGCTCAGTTTTCCTCAAGTCTCCGCAGAAGTTTCTGGAAGCTTTGACCCCAAAACCTGCCCTTTGTGGGAGACTCCTGTCCTCTGTCTGCCTCAGCCCTTTGTTGCTGTGTAGTTTGTTGGCTTTTACCATTTCAACCATTGTAAGTGTGCAGTTCAGCGGCACTAAGTAGCCCCATATTGCTATGCAACCGTCGCCACCCCCATCCCAGAACTTTCTCATCTGCAAAAGCGAAACCCACACCCAGTGATCAATAACGTCCCACTCCCCCTTCTCCCCAGCCCCGGCACCCCCCATTCTGCCTTCTGTCTCTGTGAGTCTGACAACTCCAGGGACCTGCTGTAAGTGGAATTGTACCGTATTTGTCCTTTGTGTCCGGCCTCTCTCACGCAACACGATGTCCTCAGGGATCATCCGTGTCGTGGCCTGTGTCAGAATTTCCTTCCTTTTTCAGGCCGAGTAACACTCCATCGTGTGGACCGACCACATCTTGTTTGTCATCACCCGTCGACGGGCGCGTGGGCTCTCCCGCCTTTCGGCCGCTGTGAGTGGTGCTGCTGTAGCCCTTCGAGTCCCTGCTTTCACTCCTTTTGGGTATATGCCCCGGAGCGAAATTCCTGCATCACTTGGTGATTCTCTGTTTAATTGTTCCAAGACCCTCCGTACTGTTTTCCACGGCAGTGGCCTTCCCGTCAGCAGCGCACAGGGTTCGGTCTCTCCACGTCCTCAGCAGTCCTTGTTATTTTCTGGTTTTTGGATAGTAGCCATCCTGATGGGTATGAGCTGGCTGGCATCTCATGGTGGCTTTGATTTCTGTTTCCTTCCGATTGGCGATATTGCGGCTCAGCCTAAGTCTGCCTTCGCGGGCCCCTTACACACCCCTCCCCTGCCTCCTGTCAGCTCGGCTGAGGCCCGACGGGCAGGTGAGGGAGGGCCTGGTCTCTGTGGGCATCAGCTTTCCCATCTGTGAAGTGGGAACAAGGGCAACGGCACACACCTCACAGGGCGACATGAGGACCGGTAAGTTAACCATCTGGAGCCCTTAGAATGGTGCCTGGCACATAGTAAGTGCTCAGTAAATACCAGCTGTGTACAGTCCAGGGGTGGGTGAAACCGGGGAGTTCTGTGAAGCGGCAGCGATGTGTTCAGGAGAAGGGCTCTGGGTCACGGATGGGGCGATTAAAGTTCACCTCATTAAAGTTGATCTCTGGACCCCCCTGCAGATCCTGAGAGCCCCACCTGCTCAGGGAGTTTTCCGGTCCACGAGTCTTCCAGGGCCGGCCCCTGCTTCCCTTTCAGCCTGTATTTCATGGTCGCACCCTCCTTTCTTCCCTTCTGCCCTGTCCCCACCATGGTATCTTTCAGTCAGTCTGTTTGATTTAACAAACGCACGGTCCTAAGGGCTTCACAGGCATGAACTCTCTTAATGCACAGTGTGACCCTCTGAGATAGGTATTATTAGCCCCATTTTACAGGTGGGGCAGTGGAGGCCCAGAGAAGTTAAGTGATGTGCCCACAGGAGAACGGAGCTCTGAACCTGGGTCGTCTGGCTCCAGACCTGCCCTTTTAGCTTCTAGGCTGCTTCCGGCAAGGCTCTTGCCCCAGCTGTTCTCTGTGCCCGGGACGCTGCCCCGAAGCCTCCCTTCTTCTCTGGCGAACTCGTTTTCCACCGCAGCGTCAGTTCCCGTGTTCCTCAGGATCTGAGCAGGAAGTGGACAGGACACTCAATATTGGAGACGTCACAGACGAGACTTTCAGTAGAAGAGGGTTTAATGGGGGGGCTATTTATAGGGGTGTAAGGAAAACAAGAGGCACAGTGGAGCCGTTCCCACCCCGAGGGCAGAAGGGAGGAGGGGAGGGGCGTCTAGACAGGGCTGCCTTCCGGGGACCCTGCCCTTTGCTCAAGGGTCGAGCCAGCCTGAGTGTTTCATTTATCTGTGGTTCACAACAGACCACCTGACATGTGGTGACTTCAAACACCGATGTAGTGTTTCTCGTGATGTTGTGGTTGACTAGCTGTTTCGTGTGGTGATGGCCGTGATGCTGAGATGGCTGGAAGGTCCTGAGTGGCCTCGCTCGTGGTGCTGGTGGCAGCTCAGCCGGGCTGTTGGCTGAGGGCGTGGTTCTCCTTCCCGTGGCTCCTCTGCATAGCTGCTTGGGCTTCCTCACAACGTGGCAGCTGAGTTCAACAAGGCGTGTTCTAAGAGGTGACGGCTGAGGCTGTTGATCTCTTGTTTTCTTTTTTTGCTATATTTCTTTTTTCACTTGGCGTCACCAATTCACGCAGGGACGGAGCTGTTGATCTCTTGGAGGCTATACCGTGGCACTTCTGCCACATTCTGTTGGTCGAGACAGGTCACAGCATCAGCCCAGATTCCAGGGCAGGGGAAAGAGACTCCCAGTGGGAGGAGTAACTAAGGATCGGTGGCTGTTTTTAACCCACCACGCTAAGCAATCCCACAGGGAGGAAGTGGGGGCGTCATATCTCATTTTCCCTCTCTTACACTCTTTGGGTCTCCCACCGCCCATCCGCCAAGCCCAGCGAGAAGCCAGAGGGCCAGGGAGGCTGCTGACGTGGCTCTCGAGGGTCACCTTCTGGAGATGAAGGTCAGGTGGAGAAGCAGAGGCCAGTTCTTGGGGGAGAGGAGGATATTCTCGCATAGTACCCCACTCCAAGCTCTTCTGGAACCCCCCATTTTCCCTTTACTGTGCCATTCGTAATTACAGACCTCTGTGGTTATTCTCCAAGACCGTGAGCTCCAAGAAGGCCGAGACCACGCCTGCTTTGCCCACCATGGGCCCCCTGTGCCCGGCACTGTGCCTGGAGTAGGGCAGACGCTCAGTGAGTGTTTGTCAGTGGGTGAGTCTTTCCCAAAATGACCCAACCTGGATTTCTTTCCGGAAATGACCCAGCCAGCGAGGCCGCATCACGGATCCCGAGGGCCAGGGGAAGGCGAGGATGGATCGCCAGCCCTGAGTCACAGCGGATGGGCCGTGGGCGGAAGGTCGGTGGTCGGGGACGCGCAGGGGCGGGGACTGATGGGGTGGGTGCCCCAGTCGGCTGGGCCCGCTGCAGTAGAACAGCACAGACCTGGCGGCTTGCAAACAGCAGACATCTGCTTCTCACAGCTCTGGAGGCTGGTCAAGAGGCCAGCAGATTTGGTGACCAGAGTGACCTGGTTCACGGATGGTACCTTGGAATGGTGTCCTCACCTGGTGGAAGGGGCCAGGTGGCGCCCTGGGGCTCTTTTTTAGAAGAGTGCTAACCCCCTTGATGAGGGCTCCGCCCTCATGACCTAATCACCCCCAGAGGCCCCACCTCCTGATACCATCACGATTAGTTTCACCATGAGAATTTTTGGGTGGACACAAGCTTCAGTCTCCAGCATGGGACTAGAGTCCAGGAGCGGAGGCCCAGTCTCCGAGGGAATTTTGGAGGCTGTAGAGACCTCCGAAGACCTCCACTGATATTCACAATATTTCGGGGGGCATTTTAACTTATTGAAGAAAAACAACTCCTCCTGAGCCACGTGCGTTGACATACCCGTTTTTGATACATTGCGGCCGCCCCGCTAGAGCATTTACCCTGCCCTACCGTTCTGTTTCCTCCCTGAAGCGCACGGCATCCTCTCACGGCGCCGGCCGCTGGAGACGCAGTGGGAACCTGTGTGCACAGTTGAAACATTTTCAGTAGCCACGTTTTAAATAGTGAAAAGAAACAGGTGGAGTTAGTTTAAATTGCATATTTTATTTAACCCTATCTATCCGAATGGTGCCATTTCGCGTGTAAGCAGTGTAAGAACGCTGAGCTGTTTTGTGTTCGCTCCACACCGAGGCTTTGAAATCCGGTGTGTGCCTCACACGGCCCATTTCGCGTCGCACCAGCCAAGTGCCCGGCACTTGCTACAGGACAGCCCGTGGCTGCTGCCCCGGACAGACGGCTCGAACCTCTTACGAAATCCCTGCTGACTGTGCTTGTCATGTGTTGTCGTCACTCGTCCCCTAGCGCGTGGGAGCTGCGCGGCCAGGGCCTTGGCTCCGGTCCCTGCCGGGAACCCGCACCCGGCACAGGCAGGGCTCGCTCCGCGCTGGCCGACCGCGTCCAGCTGGCCGCCGCGGGCTCTCTCCCGGCCCTGCCGGCAGCAAGCCGGGTGGCAGAGGCGACTGAAACTGGCTCCTCTTCCTGCTTTGCTTTTTCCTTTGTTCTTTGTGCTGTCTCTCCCCGTCGTTTCCTTTTCCTCCGCTTTCTCCCACTTTTTCCTTCCCCAGCAGACAGCAGTGATCACTCTCGGGCTCCGGAGCCAGCGACTTTGGTTAGGTCCCTGCTCGCTCTGCTCTGCCACTAACTAGCTGTGCCTCTTTTTAATCAAGTCCTTTAGCTGCTGTGCAATGTTTCCAGTGGCCTTGGGGATAACAATAATTCTTCCTGTTCTGGGGTGGGGTATAGGGCACAGGTGTGACGGCCACACCTGATACAGGCACCCTGATACGCGTGTAGCCAGAAGGAACCCATGTAGTACTCACGACTCCCCCAGGAAGCAGGCATGACCTAGACCACCTTCATGGCACAGATAAGGGAGTCGGGGCACAGAGAGGCCAAGCAACTTGCCCAAGGCCACAGAGCTGGCAGCGGGGCAGCCTGGCTGCAGAGACAGGCTCTGGAAGCGGTGGTTCATCCACACATACCGATTAAGGACCTACTGTGTGCCAGGCTCTGTTCTAGGAGCTGGGGGCACAGTGATGGACAAAGGAGACAGATTCCTGCTCCCACAGAGGTTTTTATTCATTCTAGAGGGGGAAGGAAGCCAATTAAACAAATAAACACATGTGTTGTGTCGTGTGCTGGATGCTGATAAGTGCTATGGTGAAAGAGCAGGGAAGGGAGATAGGGGTACTGTCGGGTGGTTTGCCATTTGAAACAGGTGAATAGGAAGGAAGTCCTTGCTGGGATGACATTTGAGCTAGGACTTAAAGGAAGGGGGTGGTGGTGAGCCTCCTAGGTGTTAGGGAGAGCAGCGTTCCAGCAGTGAGAGCAGTAAGTGCAAAGGCCCTGGGGCAGGAGCAAGGCAGCAGGTCCATGAGCTCCCAGGAGGCAGGTGTGGCTGGAGCAGAGTGGGGAAGCGGGGAGAGGGACCGTGAAGTCAGGGAGATCACGGTGACCTCATGGGCCATGGTGAGGGCTGTAGCTTTTACGCTGAGTGAGGCGGGAGCCACGGGAAAGTATTTTTTAATAAGTTTTTATTGAGATATAATTTGCATATCCTAAATTCACCCATTTAAAGTCAACAATTCAATAGCTTTTACTCTATTCACAGAGCTGTGCAACCATCACCACAACCAATCCTAGAGCATTTCCACCACTCAGAGAGAAGCCCCAGACCAGCAGCCCCCCACTCTCCCAGCCCCGGTGTGTGGACAGATCACATTTTATTTGCCCGTGAGGACTGACGGGCGTGGGGTCCTTTCCACCGTTTGGCTGTCAGCGCTGCCGTGGACCTGCGTGCAGGCTTCTGCGCAGACGCGCTTTCCTTCCTCTGGGGCACATACCCGGGGATGCAGCTGGTGGCTCTCTGTTTGCCTTCCGAGGTGGCACCATTCTGCAGCTTCTCCACCTCTTTGCCAACACTCCTCATCTGTCTCTCTGATCACAGGCGGGAGAGGAGGGGCCCCATCCCACTGGGGTTCTACAGGACCCCCCCACACCCACGTGGATAATGTTTTATTATCATCAATCTTTCTTTTCTTCCACATTTTTGTCTTTCCTCAAGGCAAAGCCTCTTTCTAAAATGTGATGTCTTTTTTCCCCCTTCTTAAGCCACCCTCCCTGCCTCCGGAAGTGACTCCCGTCCGCGAGGTCAAGGTGGGTCATGTGCGTCCAACACTCTTTCATCTCTGCCCTTCTCATTGTCAGGTGACAGCGTGGCGTGACACAAGGGCCCTCCAGCCGCGGCCTTGGGGCTCTCTGGTGTAAGCACCACGTACATCTGGGCCTTGAAGACTTAGCCATAAATAAAAGTCAGTTTGGATGGCGTGGCCGGGGAGAGTCGGATGGGGGGCAGTGCGTCAGGGCCGGGCCAAACACACGTTTTAGTCAATTGGCTAATTTCCAAGAACTCCAATCGTCATTAAAAACAAAACAATCCCCATAGTGAAGGCTGTCGAAGGCCTTAAGGAATTTAATGAAATTATATTAATTCATTAATCAATCAGTACTTTGATTAATGAATGAGCTAATTAGTGAATTGATGACTTAAAGTATTTATTGAGTGCCTGATGTGTGCTAGGCATTGTTCCAGGTGCTGGGGATAAACTGATTAGTGAAAAAAGACCAGCTTCTGTCTCTCAGGAGCTGGGGGAGATCAACAAGTGAGCAGATGCACGAGACAATTTCAGATAAAAATGGGGTGATTTGCCAGAGTGAGTTGGGACTCCCATTTTCAACAGATTCCAAGGAGTGGGCTTTGAGCTAGACCTGGAGGAGGAGAAGGAGTCATCATGGTAGGATCTAGGAGGAGAGCATTCTAGATAGAGGGAACAGCAAGTGCAAAGGCCCTGTGGCAAGAAGAAGCCAGGATGTTCCAGGAACAGAAAGGAGGCTGGGAGGCTGGGAGTACAGTGAGCAAGGGGGGAGCAGGCAGCAGCCGGTGCAGAGTGTGGCAGGAGCCAGGCTGTGCAGGGCCTTGGAACAACAAAAAGTCGCTTACTTGTACTTGCACATCCTAGACACTGTTCTAAGCACTGTCCCATTTTTTCCAACTTCTTTACTCCTCACCACAGACCTTGGAGAGAGGCTCTTATTATCCCCATTTTACGGATGAGGAAGCTGAGGCACAGAGAGGCCCCAAACCACTTGCCCCTGAGTCTGGATTTCTCAGAACCTGTTCCTCTAGGTTAGGGTGGGCACTCTCCTTGGGGCACTGGACAGTATCGGGTCTCCTTAGAGGAAGACAGTACCAGGCAAGGCCCTCTGGCCAGTACCCAGTGGGTGCTCAATAAATGTTTCAGGCCAGGGTGTGTTGTTTAAGGATGCGCCTGGGAGAAGGCTGCTTTCTTCTAGGGTTGAATAGAGTTTCAGAAGAGCTCATTCTGAGCCCTTGAGGACAGGGTCTGCCTTTCCCAGGTGTTGGGGACACAGCCCTCCTGTCCCCGTGCAACCCAGGAGTCTCTTGCCCTCTCAGTAACCTCTTTCAGAAAACCAGGGGACTGGCCCACACCAGGGGCCCAAACTCAATGTGGGGTGGGCGACGTGGCACCAGGAGGCAGCCAGGCCAGGCTGGGGAGCACGTTCCCTGAGGGCAGCCACTGCTTAGTGCCAGCCCATGGCTGTGCCCCCTGGGAGCACTTATCTGCAATTACGCTCAGCAGCAGTCTCGTCTTCCTTAGAAAACAGGGACTAAGTTTCGCTGACTTAACTCCTCTGTGCCTCAGTTCTCTGATCTGTAAAATGGAGCCATCCCGTGCCACCTAGAAGGCCCTCCTTCGTTCATTCATTCCGGAACGCCTGTTGAGCGCGAGCGGCGGGCCGGGCTGGCTCTGCCGCAGCTGGAGCGAACGGGGAGCGCGGAGCGTGGTCGTCGCTGCCAGGTGGTGCCGGGCGATAAGGATGAGCGCCGGGAGGCTGCGCGCTACCTCGCCAGGGCGGCGGGGGAAGCTCACGGACCAGGCGGCTGCGTGCGGGAACAGAATTCCCGGCAGGGGGAGTGCAGAGGCTGGTTCCGGGAAAGGGAGGGCGGGTTGGAACGCGCGTGCGGGGAGCGGGGACGGGCCCGAGAGTGGTGGTGGGGAGTGCACCCCACCTTCGGGCGCTGCGCTCCCGAGCGAGAACCTGCTACCAATGTGCGCGACGACGACGGCAGTGACAGAGGAAGTGGGGGAGGAGCGCGGAGGGGAGCGGAGGGGAGAGCGAGGAGAAGAGGGGCGACGGGCGGCGAGGGCGCGCGGCGCTGCAAAACCGAGGCGAGAGCGCCGGGCGGGCCTCGGCGGGGCGGGGCGGGGCTTCGCAGCGTGAGGCGGGGCTTGGCAGCGTGGCCCCGCCCCCAGGCCGCTCCGATCCGCGCCCGGCCCCGCCCCCCGCCCCCGCCGGAGCCCCTGATCCCGGGCGGCCCGCCCGGGGGCGGTCCGGCCGAGCCGGCGATGGCGCATAAAGCCGCTGGCCACCTGCTGGACTTCTCCGTGCGCCGCCGTCCGGGCCCCGCCGTGCCGCTGCGGCCCGCGTCCCCGGAGTCCCGGCCTCTGTCGCGTCCGTCGCCGTCCCCCTCCAGGCGCCGAGCCCTGCGAGCTCCGGGCGGGCACCAGGGCGCGCAGGCATGGGCGGCCAAGCCAGAGCGCGCCGGGCGGCCGCGGCGCTGGGCGTCCTGGGGCTGCTGTGCGCTGTGCTGGGCGCTGTCATGATCGCGATGTTGCCCTCGCTCATGAAGCAGCAGGTCCTCAAGGTGGGTGAGGGGCGCCCGGGTCGGCCCGCCCGGCTGGAGGGCGCCGAGGGGGACAGGGGCGCTGCCAGCGGGTCGGCGACCGGAGCGGGCATCGGCGCCCTGTGCCGGGCCGCAGAGCACCCGGAGACCAGCGCGGCTGCCCCGCTGCAGGACGCCCACCCGCCCGGGCTACCCGAGGGCACAGGGGGCACCCAGGGGCTTGGCTGCAGGCGCAGGCCAGGGTTGAGGAGGCCTGAATGAGAGGCCACCCGGGGACCCGACCCCCGCCTAAGGGATTTGGGGCCGGGGTCGGGTCAGGAGTGTGGCCGTGTGGCCCTTGCAGGGCCGCCCAGGGGGGCGCCCACACGCCTCTTTCCAAGGCGGCCTGTGGCAGTGTCTGGTCAAACTGGGACCGCGCTTTGCCTGTATCCCGTGAGCCCAGGAGGACAGGAACCTTCCCTTCATGTGCTCCTGGGAGGCCCACGTGGGCGTCAGCCCGCGGTCGGTGCTCGGCAGAGCATCCCCTGCCGTCCGGAACCTCCCCGCAAAAACTCTTTCGCAGAGGCAGGACTGGCTCTGTTCTCCCCGCGCGCCTTCGTGACTCAGACTGGCGCGCTAAGCCGCTTTTCTCCGCTCAGGGGAGGCAGGCTCCAGCCCGAGGTCCTCTGGGAGCAGCAGCCTGAGGTCTTTCCTCTGATCCTGGCCTTACACAGCATTGCCCTTTTAACCGGGGAGACAAATTAGGCGTCAGCTGGCTCTGCCCCGAGTGGCCCGTCTGAATGAGCCTGGCTGGCATCAGCGCAGGGCTGGGAGATTGCAGAATCTCCAGCCTCTCAGAGCTCTGACGCCACTGAGCCAGCACCTGCAGGCCTGGGAGGGGAAACTGAGGCTCACCTTTACCAAAGATCAGCCGGGCACGGAGCCGGGGTGACCATGTGGAGATTGTCATGCTGGTTGGCATCTTTTCCCCCTGGCCTGCTTCTTTAGGCTGAGTTTCTTAAGAGCGGGGCTTGTCCACAATCATGTCCGTGCCCTGTTCACAGAGTGAGTGAGTGAGTGAGTGAAGGATGCGTCTGCTTAGAACCCGCTGCCACTTCTTGGGACCCGGCTGGCTTTAAAGATGGAGCAATGTTTGGCCCGTCTCAAGGTCTCTGGGGGAGCAGTTGCCTTGAGTCATCCTGGCCACGCTGTGTCTATTTTTTGGTTATTCCAGTCGCGTCCAGTTAAGTTCTGCAATCCGATTGCAAAGTGGTGAATGGCGACACTGCCTCTGGGAATGGCGGGAAAAGCGACAGAACTGCCTCTTCCTCCCGGTGGCAGCGGGGGGTGTTTCTCTGTTACACTTTTCAGAGTAGCTGTGTTAGCTTTAGCTCAGCGACAGCCTTGTGGTTTCTGCAACACCGAAGACTCCACGGAGCGTACACAGTGTCCCTAGAGAGGCTGTCACTCAGGTGGTGCAAGCAGGTGACCCTGTGCAAAGAGCACCTAGTCTCTTGCTTCGGGGTGTGGAGGTGGTGGGGTTTATACCAGATGAACCTTGTCAGCTCAGTCATCCTGGGGCTTATTTCGGGGTGTTTTCTGTCTCAGGATGTCAGTGAGGTTAAGGAGGGCGGTGGGGTGTGGGGGTGTGTGTGCATATGTGTGCACCACCGGGTTTCCTCCCCCCTCCCTCCTCCGGGCTTCCAAAGAGGAAAACCACATTGTCCTCAGTTGTACCGGAGCTGGGAACTCTGGGCTTGAAGTTGAATGAAAGCCTTCTGGCACCCTTGTGTGGACGTCCCAAAGGCGATTGGTTTAGGGCTGAGTGGCGTGAAGGCAGGAAGACAGAGGCCACGCCCAGCCCAAGACGGCCAGTTCTTGGATGGCCCATCTGCAGTGGCGGCCAAGTGAAGAAGAAAGCCAGTGTTCAGAGGACCGAGCGGGGGGGACGCTAGGATGGGCAGGGACGGCTGCCGGTGTTTTCTTTGGCTGCGCGTATCCATGTGCAACTTGAATGGGAGGCCTTGTGCTTCTATTTATTTATTTATTTTTTATGCTTTTTGCTTCATGAAAGGAGTCCATGCAGTTGGCCTTCTGTACCCATGGGTTCCGCACCCATGGAGTCAGCCGACCTCTGATCGGGCATATATGGAAAAAAAATAATAAAAAGTAACAATACAACTATAAAAATAATACAGATTTGAAAAATACTATCTGACAGCTATTTATGTAGCATTTACATTGCATTAGGTATTCTAAATAATCTAGAGATGACATACGGGAGGATGCGTGTAGTTTATGTGCAAAGCCTATGCTGTTTTATATGAGGGGCTTGAACTTTCCCAGATATTGGTATTCGTGGGGGTTCTGGAGCCAGTTCCCCTCTGGTACTGAGGGATGACTGTATACAAAAGACATGAATACTTGCTTGTAGAAGAAATTCAAATGTCGGAAAAAGAGAAAGTTCCTCCCATTTTATTCTCCTCCCCAGCGATTCTCCCCGGCATTACTGCGGATCTTTCTAGACCTTTTGCTGTATATCACAAGCACGTATGTGTGTGTATTAATATATATATATTACATAAATTGAACTATGCTATATATAAATATTCTGCAGTTTGCTTTTCAATCAGCGATAGCACTTGAAGATTCTTCCACGTCGATGCATTTTTCTCTCTGCTGCGTGGCGTTCCCCTGAATAACGTGTATGATATATACGCACGTGTTAACCTGTTTCTCCACTGAATGATGATTTTCTCCATCGCAGGGGACAATGAATGTCCTGATGCGTGCCTGTCTGCGTGCACGTGCGAACCCTCCCGTGGGGGAGATTCCCACAAGTAGACCCTCTGGACACGAAGGTGTGCTCGGTGTAAATTGTGACAGTTCCCGCCAAAGTGGCCTTCTGGACAGTTCTACCATTCTTACTTCCACTGACAAGGCTTCCCACTCCTCTCTGTCGGCGCCGGAGAGGACCGATTTATCACTGTCGTTTCTTAGTTAATCGAACGCCTCTGATTTACATTTCTCAGGTGACTGGTGAGGCTGAGCAGGAACATGATGCGTTTCGAAACCCGTGTCAGTTTCTGGAGCTCAGGCTTGCAGGGCCCGGCGGTGCCAGTTGCCAGCAGGGACCTGAGGCCGGTTACTTCACCTCTGAGCCGGAGCTTCTTTCTTCAGCTCCGAGACAGGGGCGAGGTCTGGTTTGCCCCTGGCGAGACTGAGCTGCAGAGGAGACCAGTGTGTGGCGATGCCCTGGATGGTACCTGGTTCCTCCTCTGCTTCTGACAACAGCTTCGCGATGTGAAATGGACGGAGGGAGTGGGAGTTTTCCTCCTCACAGATAGGGAAACTGAGGCATGGCGAAAGGCAGCGACTTGCCACAGCGCGGGGCCCGTGGCAGTGGTGGACGGGAATCTGCACACTGAATCTTGGTCCGCCCTTCCCTGGGGAATGGGAAATAAAGGGGAGCTCTTCATAGGTCCAAGTTGGAAAAAAGAAACTAGATGTATGTGTTTCAGCATGGGCAGGCCACCAAGACACATTACTAGTTGAAAAAAGCTCAGGTGCTATTTATGCTAAAAAAAAAAAAAAACACCAAGCAATAGTCTGTGTGTTCAGTGGGTTAATATTAGAGCACGTGAAGCTTGGAAAAGGCGTGGAAGGGCACACGCCAGACTAACAGAGTGGTTACTCTAGAGGGAGAAGGGGGAGGACTGGGCATGTGGCCAAAGGAAGCCTAATACTTAATCGGTAATGATCTATTTTTTTTTAATAAAGAGACTGTATTCATATATTACGTGTTTAATTAAAAATTCCAAATGAGCAGTCAGGTGTGGTGGCTCACACCTGTAATCCCAGCACTTTGGGAGGCCGAGGCAGGAGGACCGCTTGAGTCCAGGAATTTGACGTTACAGTGAGCTATTATTGGGCCACTGCACTCCAGCCTGGGCTACAGAGCAAGACCCTAAAAAAAAAAAAAAATCACAAATGAACAGATACATTAGCTTTCCCCAAAGAAAGGCCAAATGAATCGGATCTACAAACACAGGAGGCGCTGGCAGAGGGGCCCTGTGGTTGGTGGCTTGGAGAGGTCTTGGGGAAGTGAGACTCATTTCTCCTCCTTCACCCAGCTGGAAGGATTGGACAGAGGTGTTTGGATGGAACACATCAAGGGCCGCGAGTGTGAACGTCACGGCACACGCTCACGGTGGCTTGCTGTGTGCCACGCGGCGTTCGGCGTACCTTTGTGAGTACCATCTCGCTGAGCGCCAGCACAGTGCTGTGACACATGACTTACTGTCCGTTCAGGAGACAAGCTGAAGACAGTAATTTGCCTCGAGGGACCTACTGGGGTGTGGGTGTGGGTGTGTGAGAAGACGTCCCAGAGGCAAACCCCACGAGGACGGGGACTTTTGCCCCCGCAGCCTGGAACTCGGCCTGGCGTGCAGTTGCCCTTGGGTATTTGAATGAATCACGAAGGCACGGTCCAGATCCCTGTGTGTCTCTGGTCCTCCAGGAGGGGCCCGGCTGGGCTGCAGGGAAAGGCTCATCTGCCAGGCCACTGTCTTTGGTGACGGGCCTCGTGGCCTTCTCCCACGTCCAGGAGGGAAGCTGAGTCCCCTCTGCTGACTTTAAGTTGGTTTCTAGTGGGACCAGCCTCAGGTGCTTTGTGCAGCTGCTGGGGGCTTTTCCCTACCTGTGGTCCCCATCTCAGTAAATGGCACTTCCAATTGTCCCCGCAGGTGTAGACATGAAAACCTCAGACCACCTTTACCTGCATGCTTTTTTCTGATACCTCTGTGTCTGGTACATCAGCAAATCTTCCTGACTTTCCCTTAAACGCACCGCCATCTCCACCCCACCCCGACCTTGCCTGCCCACTGCTTGGACTGGTGCAGTAGTCTCATCCCCGGTCTCTGTAGGCAGCCAGAGGGGTCCTGTTAAGTCACATTCCCCTGCTGTTCACAACCCTTCCAGGGTCCCCGTCACACTCTGAGTGAACCCCAAAGTCCTTTCAGTGGCCCGAAGGTCCCCCACGA